GCTGACCACAGTATTTCTGAAACAAGCCAGAATGCTGCTGGCTTTCTTGGTCACCTGGGCACACTGCTGGCTCATATTCAGCCAGCTGTTGACCAGCATCCCAGGTCCGTTTCCACCAGGCAGCTTTCCAGACACTCTTCCCCAAGCCTGTAATGTTGCATAGGGTTGTTGCGGCTCAAGTGTAGGACTCAAAACTTGGCCTTGTTGAATCTCATAAACTGACCTCAGCCCATCGATCCAGTCTGTCTGTAGAGCCTTCCTACACCCTTACAATGGCTTAAGCTAGGATGCTCAGCTGTCAACTTGCATCTGTGACACAAGCAAACATTTGCTTCAGCCTTCTTGACAGCGGGGTTATGAGCTGCAGCAAAACAATGAAGAGAAGACCTGGGGCAGTAATGATCTAACACCTCTGCAGCTAGACTGGAGGATGATCATCATGATGGTAAGAAAAACAGCAGTTAATGACAGTCACTTAAACATCTATTATGTAGCACTTTGAAGTTTATGCTAGAAGCATTAGCAATTTTTAAGTAACCTGATTTCCCAAATAATTTCCTGGCTGTGGCCCTCCAGCAGCATCTGCAACTGCTTCCAAAGCATAGGTCACCTAACATCCAATTATGCAGGAATTAGTGAACAAATGAACTAGGTTTCTTCAGGTTCATTCTTCTTGTAACAGCTTACCCTACAGTTTAAAGGGCCAATATACCTCATTTAAAAAAAAAAATTAAATCTTGAGTTTGTATTCAATCATATGATAAGCATTCACCAGCTTTCAATACAATGTATTTTGAAAAACCACAATCCTTGTTCTGTAATTAGAAGCCTTCACCAAAAAGGAATGACAAAAACTTGACATTCAAAGCTACCTGTGAACTATAGTCCCTGCTCAGAAATGTTCTGGTTTCATTAAATTAGTTTCTAATTCATCTTAATTAAGATATGCTTTTGGTAAGGATATTGTGAAATGCTATTTTCAATGTATCAATATTTTTGAAAATAAAAGGGATAAAAAAAATGAGTTCTGCAGTACTAATCTATTATGAGAAAAATCAGAGGTAACATGCAATCAAAAGGTCAAAAAAGATCATGACTAATCAGAGGTCACCTATACACGAATTTCAAAGTGTATAAGACTTTGGAAAAGAGGGGGGAACCACCACCACCAAAGAGTAATGAACTATCTGCAGAGACAAAACCCATCTTTTTCCAGTTAAGACATCTTTCTGCAAAACTGCAAGTCAAATTCTTTTTCTTCTCACACCAAGCACATATATTGAACTCTAATGAAAAGAAAAAAGGAATCTACTTAAATGTAAAGCATCTTTCCAGGCAACCATAGAACAGCTGTACTGTTATTATTTAATAGGGCTTAATTCCAAGCAAAAAACTAATACAGAAACATTCAAGGTATCTTACCTCAAAAATAAAAAGAATAGAATCTAATTCTTCTCTCTGAGACTTGTGACCTAGACGCAGTTAAAAATAAAGAGAAGATACATTTTTATTATCAAAACAAAATATATGGAATGCTGACAAAGCATTCCATGACAAAGAAATGCATGAAAATATGCATTCCTACAATGACAATTTTGCATTCATTCTGCAAATTAAAAAGGTATATTTCAAAGTTATGGCTTATAGTAGTACAAGTTTGTATGACTTTCTATTATGCCACCAACAGCTGGTTGAGATTAAGTTACACAGTATCTTGTTAAAAACTTAGAATAGTTTTGTAGAACACAAGAAGTGTAACATCTTAATCCTCATTTTCCAAACAGGCAAAAATCAGTCATCAGAGAATAAACACTCCTTGCTCACCTCCACTGCACGCACCTCTAATTGCTGTGCCTTTATTTGCAAAGTTTGTGCTTACACGTATTTCTGCACAGCTAATGTTGCCATTTGTCACCACAGACACATTGCTTTACTTATAACACCACCTTGCTTTATAACACAAACAGAAGCACCAAGATAAGAAGTGTTCTAATTGAAATACTTACCTTTTTGCTTAAGACCTACTTCAATAGTCACAAAGTTTTCAAAGAACACATAATATATATGTGAGAAATGTAGGTCGAAAAACTGCTTGAGATCAATGGATTCTGCATTCTCTGAAAAACAGAATAAAACATTCTTTTTATATCTTTCAAATATTCAGTCAACCACTGCATACCATTATCCAGTAGTGAAAAATGAAAGTATTTAAAAGAAAAATTATGATTGGTTTGGAAATTTTTTAAGTTTTTATTCTTTGAAACTGAAAATAATGAAATTTGATAAGGCATACTGTTAGTGCCTAGTGAATTTTAAAACGGGAAGCAGCGTTTTCTTGCACGCTTATTGTCTGCATGACAGTAATGCCTGCAAACCCCAGTCATGAGTCAGAATTCCATGAGGACTAGCACTGTACAAATTTAGGTTGTTTTAATTGTTAATTTAATAGGCAAATAGGCAAAATAAAGCAAATGACCCTGCCTAAACTCTACAACGGAAAGACCACCACTGTCCCCAGCTGTAGTTACAAGACACAACTAAACTTGCTTAAATAAGTGATAGAAAGATGGTAAGCGAGTGTCACATCTGCTCTGTAGAGAAACAGGTTGTGAGGAAGTAAACAGCAGCACTGGAGTCCCACTGCTGCCTCCTTGCTCCCTTAAAGCTCCAACATGCCCTTTCCTTTCCAATCTGGCCCAGTCCCCTATACTCCTTTGTGTGGTCTCAGGAGATCAGAAGCTGGGGACATGAGGGATACCCTGAGGTGGAAACATCATTGTGAGTATAGCGGGATGTGATTTCTCATGTACCTCAGCAAGGTTTCCACACACTCTTCCTGCAACCTCCTGGATGGTTTTGTGCAAATGCTCAGTTAAAGAAAAAGATGATGACTTATCTAGACAAATTTAAAATTGATCTTTTAAATAAATTATTTCAAGCCTTAGTACACGCTGCACTAGAAGACACTCCCTATCCTGTTATTTAAATACCTAAGACCAGAGAAACTAGGTGGACAGAACAATAGTATGGAAGCATAGAGGAAGACTGAGACAGTAACTTTAAAAGTCAAAACTCTCCCCTTTCAGAACACTGATGTGAATCAAAAGAAACAAACCCAAAAACATGAAGAAAGATAAGGCAAACAAAACCCTTGTTCCCTACACTGTATCAGTGTATCTTCACTGATTACTGGCATAATCTTTCCCTGTAGATATATCTTCTGTAAGTCCTCTTCTAATTCTTTACTGGATCATAATTTGTAACCCTTTTTAGAATAACAACAATCATTATAATTGCACATGACTGGATATAAAACTGGTAGAGCATAAAGCACAAAAACAATCAATGGAAAGGATGTCCCAGAAGTAGGCCATTCTGTTTTATTATGAAGCACTAGAGGACTATCAGCTCCATTTTATCATACACCTTACTATAAAAGTTTCCAATACATGTTCAGTTTTTGCAGCACCACAGCATTCTGCCAACCTCTTGCATAATCAGTGCACTGGAGCCAGGAGAGCTCTCAGAGAAGACAGTACTATATTAACAGCTCAGATCAATTCTTGAAGCAAGGCAGCTTAGCTAGCAATGAATTCAGTAGTGCAAAGTGGCAAGCGTGTGCCTAACCATCTACAGAACCACCAAACCTTCGGTTTTGCAGAACTACTACACCACTTGCAGATCAACAGCAGAAATGATAGAGTTTAGAGTCTGAAATATTAATGCAAGGGCAAAAAAACCCCCACCAAACCAATTTCACTGTAAACAAACTAGACCATGATTTTCAGGCAGTCAGTTCAAGTGCACCAGAAACAGAGCTATGAGTAGAGCATAAGCACAACCATTGCAACCACTTCCACCCACAGGGCAGAACCCTAAGTGTGTTCTAGACTATGGACAATAAAAGAGAGCAGGAAGCAAATCAAAAGGGTTTGAGATAGGAAGATTGAAGGGAAAAGAAAGAAATTATTGAGACTTCTGGGAGAAAGGAGGGTGGTAATATTTTAGTCCATATATTTTACTGCTGTATGGGAACTGCACATAGAAAGCAGTCGAAATGTTCACTTAATGCAAAGGCACAAAAAACTCTAATACCAAACACTAAAGGGACAAGAAGTAGTTAAATGGGGTCTCTGCCAATCGACACACAGGAATGCTGCATTTTTATAATGCAATAATCATATAATGCAACAATGAAAATCTTAGAAGTTTCATCTGTAAATAATCTCATCTGGTCACCTGCATACATTGTTCCATTTCACAGCTACATGTATACTGAAGCCAATCTACATGATTGATACATACATGGAGAGAATACAGCTCTCCTTGATTACTTTAACATTAAAGCTTCCAAAGAGATACATTGCTGTCACTTGCTTTCTTCATTAATTAAGGATATGATTTTTTTTTCTCCTAATGAAAATGTCTCTAAAACATTCAATTCACCTTTATCCTTGTGATGAATTAAAGATCCAGCTCTTCAATTCTCTCATGTTAAATCATTTTATCCAACACTGTATGTTCTCTACAGTCTACCAAAGTAACATGAATGCTGCATTCAGAAGCAAAAATAATTTCCACTACAAGGAGCATCTGTATGTTCTTTTCATATAGCCTTGATCTAAGAATTTACCAGAAGTTGTCTGCTTTGGCTACTTAATCTTTTATTCCTTTTTAAAAAGAAACACATAGCCCTGTTTTTACATGAAGTGGGATTACGCAAAAATAGGCTTTCCTCCCTGACTTAGAATGCATATATTTATTTATTTTTTAACAAAAGAACTTTGTATTCTCCTACCACAGACTGATGTAACTAACACAAACTAATATATTCCTTGTGTTCTTGGTACTTACAGACTGGAGCTATAAGCAAAGCAGGACTAAATTTAAAAAATAAAATATTTTTTAAAAGAGGCAAATAATCAAAACAAAAAATCCTCCACCTCTTCTACCAACTTGTGTGCTTGCATGTGATCATATTTTTAGGAACTTACTTATATTTTCAAGTGGCTAATTATTTTCTTAGGAACTTCTTATCATCTATTATCAATTAATCAACCCTTTTTGAAAGTTAATTGTTTAAAACTTCTTGAAAGGTTACTTTCTTTCCCCTCCCACCCCGAGTATCTTGGTAAGATATTCAAAATGTGATCAATTTTAGTGAAAATTCACAGTGATCAATTTTAGGGAAAATTCTAAGCCACAATTTTCTTGTGGAAAATCAGCTCTGCCACAGAATTCTGCCTGAGAGCAAACTCATTTGCTCCAATGCTTTTTTTATGGTTCACTTATCAGCACATCCCTTCTAAACCAGCAAGAATTTGCATCCACAGAAGTTTTTCAATAAAATTCTAACACTTACATTACACCTTAGAGGAAGCCTATTACACCTTGAATAGCATACCGTTCTTAGAATTACAGTGCAAGAGTACCACCTCAGAGAGCTTAACAAATTACTTTGTCAGATGTAAAACATGAACCAGAAAAAAACACAGATTTCTACTGTATATTTAAACTGGTAAGGGATTGCCTAAGCCAGATTCTGCAAAGCTTACAAGTTTGCACATACAACACCCCTATCCTCTGTGGGAAGAGTATCTCGCTAGGCTTTAACTTGTAACATAGACAACATTCCTTCTGAGTTTATTTTGTTTTCTACGTATTACCTTCTACATTATTATAAACTAATCCACAACATCTACTACATATTTATAAATAAGTTAAGTTAGCAAGGGAAATGCATCTATACCACTTAGACAACTGCCTGCTACATGAAATTGAAATATTATAAACCAGGTAAGCATGTACTTTCTACACAGGACAGAGCTTTAAGGGTAAGCAATCAAAATACTGAACGTAAAACTAAAACCCTTACACAGATCTTGGATATAAATTAACTTGCCTGAAGAAAACATTTGCATTCATCTGTTCACACACAACATTGCAGAAATTTACCACAGAATTAAAAAAAAAAAAAATAGTCTACATCATTACAGATCATGTGGTTAAATTTAAATTAAATTTTAAGCAATTCAAAATTTAATACTATGTTTATACATACAATTGTTACAGTACATAGTATAACAAAACCATTATCCTGTCTCATTCTGAGACTTACTGGCTTTTAACTCACTTTTGCTCACCCCTACCCAAAAATAAAATACCACTGACAACTGCAGCAAACAATTACCTGGAAGAGAGCCAGACTTCTATTTCTGTAAAGTGGAGGCCTGCTATAGACTGAAGTGTCCAGTATCAATTCTCATAACAAACTGGTGCCATTAGAAAGCAAGAGGTATCTAAGCGTTAACATACAAGCAAAATGGCAAACATAACTTATTCATTCTTAACTCTCCAAGCTGAAAAATATAATGGCTGCTTTACAGCAAAACGGTACAGACATTCAGTTACACAGAGACAGTCTCTTGACTAGAAAAGAATGTAATTTAGAAAGGTTAAGTGGAAAACCTCCAGAACTAACTGGTGGCTCTAGCATAGTTAACAGACTGTCAAAGCAAGAGACCTGATAACAAACCACAAGATTTCTAACGAGCTACAAATGCAAACCTATTAAACAAGGGCTTCACATTAGCCTTTACTGTTTCAGATCAACATCAGCTATTTACCAAAAAATCCTTTTCTTTAAAAAAGGTGATTTTGCCAAAGAAAATATTATTGAGATTTTTGGTACTGAAAAAGGAACACTCTTCAAGATATCTTTTAATGGACGTCCACCTTGCATCAGACAAGTCTGAACTCCTGATCACTCATATATTTTAGATACAAACATACAAGAAAAAAAAACATGAATGAATGAGCTGATTAACAGCACCAGTGAACATCATCTACATACCAACTCTTAAAATGTCAACACTGGTGCTCTACAGGAATCAACAGAAACAGCTGACAGCTCTCCTTTCAGGTTGCTTGCAGACTCCAGAAGAGTTATGCTAGTAAGCTTTTAAGAAATGCTTCCATAAAAACTGACAGATTTCCCAGAACTTAAGCTTTTATTTAAGCAACTTCAAACACTTTCGTAGTAATGTACTTGTTTTCATTTCGACCTGTCACAAGCTAACCCCAACACAGATCTTTCCTTTGCATCCAAGCAGTCAGA